CCCCGGCGCGCCCCGCAGTCCCCGTCGCGCCCCGGTCCCCCCGGCCCTTCCCGGCCCCTCCACTGCGCCCAGGCCCCCGTCGCGCCCCCCGACCCTCCCACCACGCCTCGGCTTCTGGATGGGGGCCGGCCTGTGGAGTCCTGCCCGGCAAATAACTGCAGGCCGCCGCCATTGGCGAGGCCCTGTCTGGAGTAGCGCCTCAGGCCGGTGGCGGCCTTGCGTAAGCGTACGTGGTGGCGGCCAGCGTGCGTGCGTGCATGCGTAGGCGGGAGAGGAGCAGGCGGCAGGCCGCCCGAAGGGGAAAGCGATCCTGTCGTAATCCCAGCGTTGAGGAGGCTGGCTTGGGCGGGTTACAGAGCGGGGGCCCTGCCTCGGGAACAGTACTGAACGCGTTAGTAGCCGTTAAGTCACAAGCCTGTTGTCATACGTTGCATATTCATTTATACAATTTTTTTCCATTTTAGAAGTAAAGGAAGAAAATCTATGTTATGACGAGTGTTAAAATTAAGTTGGACAATTTCATGTAAACATTTGTAATTGTGAAATTAGTAGTTGTCCATCTCAGTAATTAAAATCACATTATAAGTAATACTTTTGGACAATTTTCTAACTCCATTAGTTAGAAATTTAATGACTGCAGACTTTATCTTGGCCAGTATTTGTAACATATGTGGCAATTTGCTTAGCATGGTGATTTAATTAAATTTCGGAGACATCCTAGAATTTTTAATAGTAGTATTTTCAGCATCTAGCTATTTTTTTATATGTGAATATTCAAATATAATGTACTGTGGAGAGTTTGTAAATGATAGCCTCTAAGTTCATTGTTAGTATCCTAATATTTCTCAATTCAAAATCCACAATTCATTTGGAGGTAGAATTGATAAATTGTCCTATATTTAATAGCGTATTTTCAGTATGCTACTATATTCTATTGATGGATAAGATAACACTTTTCTACCAGGCTCGGTGTATTTTGTGGATAATTTCAAGTACTGGAGGCGTGGGGGTGAGGTGCTGAAGCAAGAGGATCACTTGAGCCCCTCAGAAGTTTCAGGCTAACCTTCCAGGCCAACTTTAGCAACATGGGACACTGTCATTAAAAATAATCATACTGAGGAGGTAGAGGCAGGTGGAACTCCATGAGTGAGGGCAGCCTAGTCTACATAGCAAGCTTCAGGCCAGGCAGCAGAGTTACATATAAGACCTTGTCTCTAAATAAATAAATGAAGTTTAAAAATTACACTATCTTGAACATTAAATTTTGATTTAATGATTATTTGGTTGTAGAGTGTTTTTATGTTTAAAAAGTAATCAAAGCATCTGTCGGTTATGGGTATCTATTGGTTATGGGTGTTTGAGATAACACTATATGAAGCATACAGTAAGCACTCTCTGCCTGTGATTCAGGGCTTGTTAAAATGGAGTACTTTGCTTTGTTAACTTTGAGTGCCACCTACTGGATAAGGACCAGGATATGGTGTGCCTTTTTTAATATATTATTACACTATTAAGATGAGACAGATTTTATACTAATCCTTATTAAGTAGGAAGCCTAAGCCCAAATCAAGTATCCTATAATATTTGATATTTTATTTTTTCCTTATTAAATTGTCCTCAAACATCCATTTTACTTTCGTATAAAGAAAACAATTATAGAAGACAATTGAGGTGACGCATGCCTTTAATCCCAGCACTCGGGAGGCAGAGGCAGGTGGATCTCTGTGAGTTCGAGGCCAGCCTGGACTACCAAGTGAGTTCCAGGAAAGGCGCAAAGCTACACAGAGAAACCCTGTCTTGAAAAACAAACAAACAAAAAAAAAAAACAATTATAGAAGACAATTGAGGTCTTTTCTAATTATTTTTCAAGCAAGGAAATCAAGATCCTGAAAACAGTTACTTTAGTGGACAATGAAAAATCAAGTTTTTCCCCAACAATTATTTTCCTCTTCAATTCTAGTGATACCATACATAACAGGATTTTTCAGCACATCCTTATAAAGGTTTTGGTCCCAGCAATCCTTTGTTTGGGAGGCTGTTGTTGGCAATTGAAGTAGTATCCCTGGCTGCCTACCTACCATATGTCAGAAGTTTACCTCACTGGTGATACCCAGAAACGTCTCTAGATACTAAGTGCCCTTGTAGCAGAGAATCAGTTCATTTATAACTTCTTAGACTCTGACACAGGTGAAATACTACATACTCCTCTAAATTAAAAAGCATCCATACATTGTGGTATAAACACCAGTAATAAAAATTATTTATCAAATAAGCGTATATTGTATTCATTCATAAAAGAAGGGAAAATTGAGAAAGGAAGTTCTATAAAAATTACAGAACCACTGTTTTATGTTTTGAATTTATTTCTGAATGAAAAAATTGAGAAGAGATGGACAGATTGTCTGCTAGCAAAGCATATCTAGTCAAGTTCTAAATAGTTGAAGATACATAGCATATGTAGTAGTCCCATTTAGAAAAAAATAAAATTGTAAGACATTAAAAGAAGGAAATAACTTTTAAAATAATCTTTTTATTCCCTGCCATATCATTGTTGAAGGGAGTTTACTGTACAAAGGCATAAAGTTGTTAAGTAGGAACACAAAATAGAAAATAATAGCTTAAGTGAATAGAGGAAAAAACAAAGATGATTTGACAATTTTTATTTCATTTCAAAAATTTTTATAAAATTAACCTTTTAAAAACAAATTGGCACCTTTAACTTTTTATTATATAGTATTTTCACTTCAAATATGTTATTTAATGTTATATGCAAAGAATGTATACTAGCATTCCCTTAAAATCTTTAGTATTTACCTCCTATTAAATCAGTTTCATAAATGAATTTTGAATGGATATATCATATAGTTTATTAAAGTTCCAACTAGTTGATAATAAAGTACTTGTAAAGTCAGCTGTGAGAGTAAAAAACCCTTTTCTAACAATCCATTGAAAATAAATTCAAATACAGGACACTAACTCATTAGCATACTACTTTATACTTTACAAAATGAGTTAAGCAATGTTAGTCATTCTCAAAGTAATTTGCCCAGGGATACACTTGGACAGGTATGCAACTTATAACTTAGTGTAAGGGACATGAATTAGGCATCTTGACTAAGTCAGTGTTTGTTGTGTTTTGCTGCATTGCCTCTACCATTCCCAATAAGTTCTGCTTTAGGAAAATTGATGTCAACCAATTAGAGTGTATTGTGTGAAGACTGAAAACAGTTTGGATCAAAACCCAAGGAAAAAAATGAGTTGTATATATAGGTGTCTTTATTTGAAAATAAAGGGTGATGTTGTTTCTATTAACCAACTGACCATGAAAATTAAAGTTGCCAGTGAGAGTGATGGGTGTTATTCAAGAAACGAGTGCTATTTCAAAACATGCATTAAACATCACAGTATTAGGGAAGAGGAAATTATGATGTGACAATAATATTTTCATAATTTACTTATTTATTCCTAAATAAGTCAGACATAATATGAGAGTGTTGAAGTTATAAAATTCATGTTAATTTGATAATAGAAAGGCAAAGGAAATGATTTATCTAAGAGTTAGTTTTTGTTTGGGATTTTAAACAGCTATTTTGTTTATTTTGAGTTTTTTATGTGCTTTTGATTTAACATACCCAGTAAAAATGAAAATTTATTAGTATATCCCTAATGATTTTAGTAGTTTTAGTCTTCACAGATCTGAACTTTTCACGCAGCTCATCAAATACAATATTTTCATACATTGTATGAAATAAAGTTGGTATTGTTTCACAATATAGTATGAAAGATAACGGGGTGGAGAGATGGCTCAGTGGTTAACAGCACTTTTATTATTCTTGGAGAAGGACCCACATGACAGCTCAAAATTGTAACTTCAGTTCCAGGAAATTTAGCTCCCTCTTTGGCTTCTGCAGACATTAGACATGCACATAGTGCACATACATGCAAGCAGGCAAAACACACACATAGAGTAAAATATAGAATGAAGCCTGTTGTCTTAGTCGATTTACTATTGCTGTGAAGAGTCCTCGTGACCGTGGCAACTCTCCTAAAAGAAAGCATTTAACTGCGCCTTGCTTAACAGTTTCAGAGGATTAGTCCACATCATGGCAGGAAGCATGGCAGCGTATAGGCAGAAGTGCTGGAGAAGTACATCTGGATCGGCAGACACAAGGGGGAGAGAGAGCCTCTGGGCCTGGCTTGAGCTTTTGAAGTCTCAAAGCCCATCTCTAGTGACACTTCCTCCAACAAGGCCACACCCTCTAATCTTTTCAAATGGTGACCAAGCATTGAAATCTGTGAGCCTATGGGGACCATTTTAAAAAAGATGACAGTGAGAAGCATCGTATTTCAGAAAGTACTACATCCTTTTGTTTAATTTTCACACCAGTTCTCTGTTAATTGCTTTAAGTTCTGAAGCTAAGCTGTATTGGTAAGTAATTTAGAGTAACACTAGTTTATGTTAAATACAAAAGGTATGTTTCACATAGTTTGTCCTGTGTGTGTGTGTATTTAGTTGTCTATTTTCTAAATTACAGTCTGCCACAACTTCTGAGACTCCAAATTCAGCTGTCTCCAGGGAGGCCAGCATCCAGTCTTCAGCAGCAGCCACCAGTCAAGGATATGTTTTGCCAGAAGGCAAAATCATGCCAAACACCGTTTTTGTTGGTGGAATTGATGTTAGGGTATTGTATTCATATTTTGTTTTACTTTAAATACATTGTGAAGCCAGGTAGTGTTTGGATGGGAAGAGGTGGGAGGCGTGCTGGAGCCAGGAGGAGCCCTGGCAACACAGTTGAGAGTTCAGTAAATTTTAATTATCTAAAAGGTGGTGGATGATGGGATTTGATGTGTAGACCTAAAAGGGTTTTTCGTTGTTTTAAATTTTATGCAGGTTTGGTTTTAACCCACAGAATCTAAAAATAGACTCAACAAAGTGGAATAATTTTGTGATACCAGAGATTGTCTTGCACATAATCAAATCTCTTCACAATTCAATTAGAAGTCTTGAATGCTTAATTTTTTACTCTTGAAGTTCATTTCTTTTCATAGATGGATGAAACTGAAATCAGGAGTTTCTTTGCCAGATATGGCTCAGTAAAAGAAGTGAAGATAATCACTGATCGAACTGGTGTGTCAAAGGGGTATGTAAACATATTTGCTATAGCTACTGTTTATAGAACTAAGCATGCTGGAGAGACACCCGATATCAGACAAGACTCACAGTGGGCATTCTAACATTAATGAATTTCTTGCTTTTGATAATTTATTTTATGGATAAAAGGTTTTTAATCAGTTCTTTAACTTAGTCATTTTCCTTGTATTTGTATTTTAATATTTTCTGTCTTTTATTTCACACAAATGGGTTATCAAATATTTTCTTGGCACATTTCAGAGTATCTTAAATTTTAACTGTTTTGCCTTAGATAATCTTTGTTAATGAATGTTAATATTAGCACATTCTGACATAATAGACTAAGGAAGCAGTGGTATTTACAGAGGAACTGTTACCTGTGTCTTAGCATATCTATCACAGTATGTTCATCTTCCATTATTACCACTTCTGCTATTTTATAGACTGTTAGAAGGTATAACCATGGTACTATGTACTTATGATTTTGTATTTCATTTGTCTGCCTTTCTAGCTATGGATTTGTTTCATTTTATAATGACGTGGATGTGCAGAAGATAGTAGAAGTAAGTAATAGTCTTACAGAAAATTCTTCAGCAATGCTTTAGAGTTGAAAAGTGCTGGATGTTCAGTCTTATATAAAATACAGAGAAAAATAGGCTTCCTTTCTGTTTAAAATAAAAATGTAATCTTATGTAACTTGACAGAACCTACTTGCTTGGGAGCTTCTAGTTTTATCAACTAGAGACAGAGTTAGAAATGGAATGAATGGCTTTACTAAATTTAACTTGATGCTTTGGGATGCTTTGATTATAGAGTTGTAAGGGTAAGCACGGTAGTATTTGGCCAAGTCTTGGAAATGAAGTATTACATTATCGTTTGTTACTGTTTTTAGTCACAGATAAATTTCCATGGTAAAAAGCTGAAACTGGGCCCTGCAATCAGGAAACAAAATTTATGTGAGTAAAAACAGAAATTGTTCTTGATGAAACTGCTCAGGTCAGGTTTTTCAGAGGACTTGATATAAGTTTTTCTCTTTATTTTTTTTTTAAAGGTACTTATCATGTGCAGCCACGTCCTTTGATTTTTAATCCTCCTCCTCCACCACAGTTTCAGAGTGTTTGGAGTAGTCCAAATGCTGAGACATACATGCAGCCTCCAACCATGATGAATCCTATAACTCAGTATGTTCAGGTAAAAATGGCTTGCATTCATGTTCTTAGGTTTGTTAGTAGTCTTCCTAAGCTCTGCAGTCATATGCATGGTTTGGATGGTAAGTGTAATACAGTTCAGTCCTTATTGGAATACTTCAGATATGAGGAATTTGTTCCTTTTGTTTATACTCTCTCATTCTTAGTGCTTTGTTCCCTATGCTAAGCTGAAACCTGCCTCTATGTAGTTTGTAAGACTTTATCCTAGAGCCTCGGTAGCCACATTACATATATTCCTTTTTTTCCCACAGGTCTGTATTTCAGACATGTACAAATAGTATATTATAGAAGAATTTTACTATAACCTTTTCCTCTTCTGGCAAAAATGTCTTTCAAATTGAAGAAGTTCTTTGACTGTTCAGAAACAGCTTTGTATGTCCTCTTAGTTGATTGTTCCCAAAGATGATCAGCTCTTCTGTGATTTCCAAATGCCTCTTCATGTAGGTTGTTGACACCTGGGTTCATTTTAGTTTGGAAATTGATCGGTTTTATCTATAAATAATAAGGTTCTTGAATTTAATTTGAGCTGGGTTAATATTTAAATTTTCATGCTTACTATACCTACTGATGCTAAATAACATTCTTGGTACATTTTACTTTTTCAATTTGAGAGACATTTTTTGGCCAGAAAAGAAAAAGAGTAATAAAAACCTATGTATTTTTTTCTCTGTGTGTAGAATATAGACTGTCTCGTTCCTTATTTCTCTTGCTCCAAATATGACTTAGAAGAAAATCCATACTTATTCCTAATATTTACTGTGATTCATTACTGATAGAAGGCATTCATGTGTGCTACTATTTGCTTTCAGTCAGTAAATACTGAAGTATAGAAAACATTGATTTAATCCCTCTCCAGTTTCAGATAGTAATTCTGTTAACTTTTAGAAATTAAACACAGAAAAATCATAAGGCTGTAGAAAAATTAATGATTATCCGTTCTGTTAACATTGCTACCAGTACATACTCTGTGAAGATACTTTCATAGAGAAACAGAAGATAGATTTATTTAACTGCCCTTCTAGAACTGTATGTATAGTCTGTATACAGTGACCTCCTAAGGTGAATATTGGCTTAGAAAAGCAGTCATTTATATTGTCTTTTCCTCTTTCCTGTGTAATAAGTTATCATTTGACAAGGAATATTTTCTACCTAAAGCCAGTCATTTAGACTCCTGAATTGCAATATAGAGAAAAAGAGAAAAACTGCATTTTCTTGTTGTATTGTGAATGATACTTTCTCATTTTCTCAAATTTATTTTATTAATCCAATTTTTTGTGAATTTTATTATCAGGCATACCCTCCTTATCCAAGTTCACCAGTTCAGGTCATCACTGGATATCAGCTGCCTGTTTATAATTATCAGGTATTTTTTTTTTCTTTTTTCTCCCTTTAATTGAAAATGGATTTATTCCTCACATAATATATCCTGATTATAGTTTCCTCTTTCTGTACTCCTCATAGCCCCTGTCTACTTTCATCCTATGCAGATCGACTCCCTATAAACAGGCTCCTAAGTTGTCTTAGTGAAGAAACACCATGTGACCACAGCAATTCTTATAAAAGAAAGCATTTTATTGGGACTGGCTTCCAATTTTAGAAGTTTAGTCCATTATCAGCATGCAGGCAGACATAGTCCTGGAGAGATAGCTGAGAATTCTACATCTGGATCCATAGCCAGCAGGAAGAGACAGCCCTTGGGCCTGGCTTGGGTTTTTGAAAACCTCAAAGCCCATCCCCAGTGACAGACTAGTTTCAACAAGGCTCTGTCTTTTAATCCTTTCAAGTGCCATTCCTTGGGAACCAAGCATTCAAGTATATGGACCTATGGGGTCATTCTCATTCAATCCACCACAAAAGGGATAGCAACAAAATATGAGAAAAACTACCATAGCAAAATTGAACAAGGGGGAAAAAAACATGGAAAAAGCTCAAGAGAAGTCACAAGATTTAGAGATCCATTTGTTTGCACACTCAGGAATATCATTAAAAACTAGACTAAACTGGAAGCCATAATATATAGGCAGAGGACCTGATGCAGCCCCTGTGCATGCTACCTTAGTCCCTGTTCGATCATACGAGCTTTGATCTTGTTGATTTAGAGGGCCTTGTTCTCCTGGTGTCCTCCATCCCCTCTGGCTCTTAGACTCTTTCTGCCTCCTCTTCCCCAGGGTTCTCTGAGCCCTGAGGGGAGGGATTTGAATGATCAGATAATTTAAGGGAATGTAAATTAACTTGGGGATATTACTGTGGTCTTTCTTTCTTTATATAAAATTGCTGCATAGTGTGCTTATTTAAACTATCTAAAATTAAAGGAAAGTAGAATTACTCTATAATTCAGGCATCAATATTATTTAGAGATAAGTATTTTGACAAGGAAAAACATTTGTTCAGACTGTTTACAAAGATTCAGTATCTTCTGTTCTTATTTCAACAAGCATTCTTTAATTTCTGTCAAATATCTGAAAAGTATAGGCTGACTTAAAAATTTTTATAGGATAGGTTGAAATAAAAATAGAACCCAGTTCTTAGAGCACCATTCTGATAGTATATAATTTTGCTAGATGCTACAAAAATAGTAGTTCCACGAATTTCTCTCCCAATAGATGTGACCATCATATTTATGACCCATGACCTTAGCTGTAGTAATAATTTCTAAGAGCCACTGTCTTTTTAAATTTCTCTGAATGCCAGCTTCCAATTGAGAAAATGTAAGGTTTATATATTGCTGGAACTGAAAAATGCAAAGATATTAGAAGCATAAAGGTACCTATTTTTGGTTCTGTTTTACAATAAGAAATTTAGAGTCCGCATGGTTAAATACCTTAACATTGTCTTATCACCTCTTTTGTAAAAATGTGTAGGTGTTTAAATAATCTTTGTTTCCTTTTCTTAAGATGCCACCGCAGTGGCCGGCTGGGGAACAGAGGAGTTATGTTATACCTCCGGTAAAATGAATTAGCTCAACATACTCTGCTTAGTCTGACAGTTTTTTCCTAATATATTTCTTTTGCCATATTGTGTATATCTATATTTTAATTGCCTTTTTATGTTATGTATTTTACTCTGTTGTTATCTCAGTTATATACTCACATGAGAGAGAAACTGCTTGTTTTTCACATGGTTTGTGTATGCCCAATCAATGGCTGCTTCATATACAATAAGTTTTGGTTACTTGTTGGCATGATGTATAATCCAAGGAAAGTAGTAAAAGTACTAGATTTCAGAGTTAGCATTTGGTCTTCCTAGAATCTGCCTCTGAGTTTGCAATGAAAAGAAAATAGGAGAGAAATAAGTATTTTAACCATTAATATTACTCTATAAAAGGAATAAAAGAAGATGATGTTACCTGTAAAACACCTGAGCTGCTGTTAACTAACTTTCATAAAGTTATTTGAAAAGTATACCAAGAGAATTCTCGGGTACTCCATTATTACTACATAGTATAGTTACTTTTCTTCAACTCCTACTGACTCTGATGTTGACAGAAGACATTTTTAAAATAAAAGACTTAATTTCATCCATTTAGTTGAAAACAGTTTCTGAAATAGCAGCTTAGCTTTTTGATGAATGACTTAGAAATGTATCATGTTTCTTGTTAATTACACTTTTTTTTATTGTTTTAAATACAGGCTTATACAACTGTTAACTACCATTGCAGCGAAGTTGATTCAGGAGCTGAAGTTTTGCCAAATGAATGCACAGTTCATGAAGCTACTCCAGCCTCTGGAAGTGGCCCACAAAAGGCAAACATCTAATTTTGTTTACTGGTTTTTATATTTACTTTTATATGTTTTATATTAGTAAAGATTCTTTGAGTAGACCTATTTGCCCAGATTTAAAAATTTAAAGAGCATAGGAAACTTAACTCTGAAGTTAATGCATAAGATAGTGATGTCTCAGACACTCCAAACATTGAGAGTTTCTGATTCCTTTGTCATATCCTCTCTTCTAATTGATTGCATTTTTTAAATCGTATTTTAGTTACTGTTCTGTAATATGACTTGGTAGAATTCAGTGGCTAGGTGTCTACAATTAGTATGAATTATATTTGCCATGTCTTTTATAGTTAAAAAATTTATTTATATAGTAATATGTATTATTATTATTATTATTATTATTATTATTACTAGTTTTTGGTTTTTCAAGACAGGGTTTCTCCATGTAGTTTTGGTGCTTGTTCTGAATCTCGCTCTGTAGCCCAGGCTGGCCTAAAACTCAACAGAGATCTGCCTGCCTCTGCCTCCCGAGTGCTGGGATTAAAGGCGTGCGCCACCGCTGCCCAGCTGTAGTATGTATAATTTATAGTATTCTGTGACATTATAAATATGACATTAGCTTTTAAAATGGTGACTATTTGATACTGAACTAGACAGTCATTTCTTTAATCATATTCTCACCCCAAAATTCTAATTTATATTGTTGAATGAATAAAGCAATTGATAAGTTGGGAATGTGTGTAATGAAAGATTTCACTGGACAGATTCCTTATTTATGTGTTAGTGGAAAAAAAAAGAAAACTACTAAACAATAGGATAGGATAACAAATTGCCTGATTTGATGCAGTCTTAAAATTTGAAAACAAGGGCACAGTGATGTACAGCTGTAGTCCCAGCACTTTGGAAGAGAAGAAGAAGGAATTCAAAACTAGCCTTGGTTACATAGCTGGTGTGAGGCAAGCCTAGGGTTGCAGAAGAGTCTGCCTCAAAAAAACAACAACTTCATACACATAAATACACATACAGAATTAAAATAGCCTGCCTGTACTATTATATTAACATGTCACTCTAGATACTTCGAAATATTAAAACTCTTGATTCCTTCTGTAATAGGAAAAATAAATGCTTCAAACAAAATACCATAGTTTTAATAAATACAGCCTTTTAAATTTGCTAAGACACTAGAACATTAATTTAGGAGAACTATATATAAAATAAACAATGATAAGAATTTGACATTATGAATGAATTTCCTAGAAGTGTATATGCTCAGTATACTTTTAAAAAGCCATTAGCAGTGAATAAAAGATGTAGTCTTTAAACTTCTGTGTTTCAGAAGTCTGTGGACCGAAGCATACAGACAGTGGTCTCTTGTCTATTTAACCCTGAGAACAGACTGAGAAATTCTCTTGTTACTCAAGATGATTACTTCAAGGTAGGACAAGAATAGTATTCAGAGCAAAATGTGTATGTGTTAACACTAAAACATTATTTTTCCTGTGGGATATATGTATTAAAGATTTATTTATTATGTATAAAGTGTTCTTCCTGCATTCCAGAAGAGGGCACCAGATCTCATTACAAATGGTTGTGAACAACCATGTGGTTGCTGGGAATTGAACTCAGGACCTCTGAAAGAACAGCCAATGCTCTTAACCACTGAGCCATTTCTCCAGCCCCTGAATATATTTTTATACTGATGAAGTGTACTATAAGCCCTGGTAACCATTATGGTGGTTGAGTTTCACCTAGAAGTGTGTTGGATGCTGTGTAAATCTTAGAATAATATAGTTTATCTTTGGAGAAGAAACGTTTTCAGAAGGTAAATATTTCATGAGCTGTTGGGCACATGGCTCAGTGAGTAAAGCGTGAATTTGAACTCAGAATTACATAAATGCCAGGTGGGTTTTAGCAGCCTGCCTAAAGATCTGCTGTCCTCAGATGCAAAGACAGGATCCTGAGCAAGCTATGTAGCCAGGTCAACCCATATCAGTGATCTCTGAGTTCTATGAAAAAAGGTAGAGAGCAATCAGGAAGACTCCAGATGTTAACCTCAGACCTACACAAGTATGCACACACAGGGAACACATAAGCATACACACACAGAAATGGGAAGGTACTATAAAAGGGTCATGAGAGTTGGCAGATAAAATAACTTGACCACACAATAAAAGAAAAATTTGAAAGCGGAATGTAATTCAAAAGAACTACTTGGTTAATATATTTGAACATTATGGAGAATGAAGAGATAAAACTGAGGAGGTTGAAAATAACCAAGTGAAAATGAATTTAGCAAAGATTGAGTTTCTAATCTTCTGTCCACTTTGCACAGATGACTTACATTTTAGGACTACAGTTTTGCCTGCCTTCTCCGTGGAGGTTTAGTCTGAGGGTTAGAACTCGGGGACTTAGACATGCTGTAAGCACATGCTTTACTATTGAGCTGTTCTTTAGTCCCAAGACATTTTACAAATATAAAATGAGGATGAGTAGAACACACAGTCTTAGGTCCCTTTACTTTTGAGTCTGACTCTGAAGTCTATTCACTGGTTAGTCCAGTGGAGAGAATATTGCATTCGAGGAAGATTTTTTTTGAAATAATAGATAAATGATAGGTGTATAATACGGATATCCTCCAACTCATTTTAAGTATATAATTCAGTGGCTTTTTCATATATTTACTTAATTGTACAACCATAAGTCAAATTTAAAAATGTCTTAGCCATCCAAGAAATGAACCCCTTCCTATTAGTACTCAATCTCCATTTCTAACCTCTAGCCTTAGACAGCCAGTGAAAGTTATTACCTACTTTCACTAGGTTTTACCTACTTTTGTGTGTGTGTGCAACATAATGAGTAAAAGATACTCGTTTAAAATTGTTTCCTTTTTTTTCCTACACAGTGCAATATATAACTGCAGTAGTCAGCTTGCCCCAAAGTTCTAAAGGTGTTAAATGACTTGTTTGAAAACAAAACTTCTTCAAAATTGAGTTTTTACCTGGTGTTAGAAAGAAAACTTACCTTTGAACTCTAGAGATTTCTTCCCCTCTAGTTAGGAATAAGAAATTAGTGAAGTGGTCTGCTATTGTTACACCACCACCCCTGCCTCCCCCCCCCCCCCCGCTTTCTTTCTCTGTGTGTGTGTGTGTGTGTGTGTGTGTGTGTGTGTGTGTGTGTGTGTGTGTGTGTGTGTGTGTGAGTGTGAGTGCATGTGCACATGTTCACAGGTAAGTCAGCTTATGTGTATGGAGGCCCACAGTCAATGTTGGGGTTCTTGGGATCCCAAGCACTTGTCCTGATTACACAGAGCAAGTACATGGAGCCCCAGACCTATTGTTACAAGCAACTAAATGCTGTTTTTGAAATTGAATGCAGTTTATTTTCATCATAAATCCCATTTTTTGTTTTAACTTCTGCCCTATAATTTTAATTCATTACTACCTAGCTTCTAAAAACATACACATTTGTGACCACTTTTCGAGACCCTAACTTAATGGGATGTTACCTTATTGACAGGCTACATGACAGTGTGTATACACGTGAAGGTGCTGTGGCAGTCAGAGGTGGACTTTGGGTGTCTCGCCACATTACTGTTTTAAACTGATCTTCCACTGAATCTGGAGCTTGTCCATTTGGCTAGGTTTGGTGACCTATGCTGTAAGGATTTGCCTGTCTCTTGTTCTACTCTTCCAGGACTGTGATTATATAGTGCACCTCTAATACCACGAGCCTTTTAAAGGGGGTACTAGGGACCTGAACTCATGTTCTCAGGCTTGCACAATAGGTACTTTACCAAAGGAGCCACCTTTCCAGCCACATAGAAGTCACTCTTTACATAATGGAATCTGGTCCCCAGGAAAAGGGCAAGATTAAGCTAGTTGTGTAGAAAAGAAAATACTATTTTATTAACCCCGTTTCTCTTTTAAGGCTTCACTTCCCTGTATCTACATCTCTGTAAGCAACAGAGTAAAGGAAATATTTCTGTAAACATTAGTCTTCTGTATGCATGCGCCCTACCCTTGAATTCAACCAATTATATGCACATATTTTAAATTATACTGAACATATGTGCAGACTTTTTTTGTTTTTATTCTTCACAATGCAGTAAAACTTTACATATTAGGTATAAGAATGAGAAATTTAAAGTATACAGAAAGATCCCCAGTGTATAATGCAACCACCATTTTATATGAGAGATTTGAGCAAACCTTAGGTTTTCATATCTATGGGGGAGAGTGTTCCTAGGACCAATCCCCTTGAGAAAACATTTTAAATTTTCTTACCTTTGCCTCATAAAGAATGATACATCTTCATAGATTGAAGCTAATCCTTAAGTATGCAAGAGTCAGAGCTTTTAATCAAAATAAAGGATTTCAAGTTGAAATAGAGTACTGTTCTGAAATATGGTTTCTTTCAGATGCAATTGTTAATAAAAACAATAGGTAGGGGTTTGTTTTGTTGTTTGGGGAGGATTTTAGTTTTCTCTTTTAATTGTATACTGGTGCCTTGCCTGTGTATATGTCTGCACTACTACCTGGTGCCCACAGAAGCCAGGTAAGATTCTGATTCTCTGGAACTAGAGTTAACAGTTTGGGAGCTGAAACATGGTTCCTGGAAATCCAGCCCATATCCTCTGGAAGAATAAGTGCTCTTAACCACCAGAACGTTTCTCCAGACCCAAACTTTGGGGTTATTTTGTTGTTTTGTTGGATGGTTTTTGTTTTGTTGGCTGGCAAGATAGCTCAGCAGGTAAAGACATTTGCCACCAAGCCTGATGATCTGTGTTTAATCCCTGAAACCTACATATGTTGTAGGAGAGAAACTGAACCAGCAAATTGTCCTCTTGACCTCTCCATATGGGCCATGGCACATATGCATGCATGCATGCATGCTTGTACACACAAAATAAATTCTAGTGAAAAACATTTTAAAGAATGGTTTTAAGAATCACATAAATTTTCCACTGTCTTTGGTTCACCTGCCAAATCATTTAATTATCTAAAAAGTACTAATTATAACTCTTATTTCTGAGTTTACTGGGATTCCTTTTTAATTTTGTCATTTAATAAAGCCTTAACAGTTGGTGCATTTATTGTTGCAGAGTTCCTCCAAATGCTCTCCCTTTCCCCATTTACTATATTTAAATGTAAACCAACACATTGGTTATTTTGTAATAGATGAGTAGTGGTAGTGTGGAATTCTCAGTGATTTAAAATGACTTTCTGTCTCTTCTAGGATAAAAGAGTGCATCACTTCAGAAGAAGCCGGGCAGTGCTTAAGTCTGACCATCTTTGCTAACTTAGTAGTTAAGGCAGCTTGTTGTTGACTACTAAAAGAGATGGAATGGTTTTCACTATTACAGAGGGGTTGACAAATCACACTCAGACTTTGTATAAGAGTTCTATTAGATTGCTTAGTTTTATGTTGAATCTGTTCATTAGATGTTTATATAGAAACTGGTTTTGTGTTCACTATATAGTTGAAAGAAAAATAATTGCAAGTAAAAAGGATAAAAAATAATTTTCAAATAATTGAAAAATAGCTGAAAGGAATAACTTTTAAGACTTAAAGGACTTTTAATTGAAATTGGCATTTTAAGAGTTCAAAAACAAGTACTAATTTTCAAGAAAAAGATTTTATAAACCTGTTTTGAAAGGTCAGAATTTTGATAGACTACAAGCATTTCACTTCTCAAAAGGTACCTGAACAGTACAGTATTTACAGTATTGTACTTTACATTTGTTATTTGTCTAAACATTTGCCACAAGAGCAGAATTTTTAGAACTGCATTTTTAATCAGTGGAACTCAATATATAGTTAGCTTTATTGAAGTCTTCCTTATCTAAACCCAGGAAAACAGATTCTTAACAGTCCAATCAGTGGGTCTTACATTTATACAAAATATTTTACCCTATAGCTAGAATCCACACACATACACATATCCTATTTATTTGTTTGGGATGGTAATTAGGATATCTAAAATTCTGGGTATAATTTTGTTTAACGAATCCGAGACAAAAACTAAACTTTGCTAGGTGTATAAGCTATTCTCAGTGAGTTAATACTCTTTTTTTCTTAAAATGCTGAACTGAATGGCTGTCTTAAAATTGTGCAAAATACTGATATTTAAAGTGCTGAAAATTTTTTATGTCACTTCAAAGTTAATCAGAGTATCTGAAAGAAATTTTTATAAAAACATTCAAAATATAAGTTGTTACAGAGTAAACAGATTTTTAGTTTTGTTAGTCTGTTGTATTTCCTTTTGTAAAGAAAAATATGTCCAAAACAGTCAAAGTAGGTAATTTTGACATTTCTAAACCACAAAATTTGTTTCATAATTGTATCCCAAGAAGGTGGTAGTTTATCTGTTTTTAGATTAGATGGTCTCCATTGGACATTATGCATGGTGACAGCAGAGACCCTTTGTGCCCACAGTCGTTTGCAGTCTGTACTCCCATTCTGTCAGGGTTTGTTCCATGGTATAAAGTAAGCAAGTAACCCATAGGAGCAGTTCAGGGGCTAAGCCTTAGAATGTAGCATGGGACGACAGTACCTTTCTGAAGGACTCAATTGGATGGACACCATCTGACCTGCCATGGACATGAGTTTTAAAATGCCTTGTATTAGCCCTTCCCTCAAACACGGAGATTCCACTTAACCCTAACTTAAGGGAACCACCATGGGTCATGTCACAAGTGTCCATAATGATCTTCAACTCTTAATTTTATTCTGTATCTGAAGGACAAAATCTTTTTAAGTCACCAAGAGGTCAGTATACCAGAAAAGTAGAAAGTATCCCGAACTTTGTTCTTTTATTTGTCCCTTGTTTATTTCAGTGTATTTGTATTTTTGTGTGAGATTCTTACATGTATCACTCTGATTAAATCTCCAGCTTACTATGAATGATAACCTAAATTCTAAAGAACAATTGTAATTGTTGCTGTATGACTTTAAGGAAAAGTAAGGGAATAAACTTTCATCTGCTGTTCTGTTGGAGTCAAGTATTTAAGAGAAGGGAGAAAGAAAAGTACTGAACCTTTCAAAATGGAAGATTAATTTTAAACTTAAAAGTATGTTCCTATTACCTATTGCTGATAATATCTTTGCATAAATGAATAAAGCTTTTTTTCAAAAATAGCATTGACTTACTGTCATCTAGAAATGATGGGAAATTTTGGTGAACAGTGTGTGACAATGTGTAAATCCTTGTGATTAAAAATTATAAATATGCTGCATTTGCTAAGCTGGCAGTTAATTGATAAAATTTTGAGACATTTTATTTTCTTGCTTTCTACAAGAAATTGTGTGTGTGTGTGTGTACATGCTTTAGTCCCTGTTTTATTCCTGTGAAGAGGCACCGTGACCAAGGCAACTTTTTTAAACATTTTATTTGTGGATTTCACATCACACATCCTGGTCCCATCCACCTCCCCATCCTTTCATACCTTCCCTCTGTCCTTGCAACCTCCCCACCTCCAAAAGAAAAAAAGATCTTGTCATAGAAGCTGTGATATGACAGTGAGCAACACAGTGTATCCTTCAGTCCATACATCTTTACTTGGAAGTGTTCATTGCTATGAGTCATTGTTCTGGTTCAAGGCCTCTGGAGTGTGTTTGGCCCTCACTGGGACTCCTTGGATATCCTATTGCCCTGTGTCATGGAGATCTTGCAGCTTTGGATCCCTAGGACAGGCCTCTTGACCCTCTACATACTTTGGCATGTAGAGGTAGGGTGGGCAAATTCAGCCCTGGTTCAGGGCCTGGATAGTAGCTAGGTTGTTCAGCCTGCCAGCTTTCATTCATTAACAGGCAGGCTTTCCAGCACCTCCCTGGCTAGCTCACTGTGCAACAAGGGGCAGGGCTGCTCCTGCTCTTATGCCTTGAGGGCCAACTCTGTTGCCCAGGTGAGGTGCAGGGGCCACTCTCTAGAGTGCCACAATTGGTGAGGGGCAAGGCCAGTTCTCCCACTCATCCCCATTCCCTGCCTCCCCCCACCCAAGTTCCTGTTGCAGGTGGTTAGGGACAAGGGAGGGGGAAGGCATGTTTCCTTCGCCCATACCACCACCTGGCAGGTGAGGGGGTGTGGAGTCAGCTCTTCTGCTTTCACACCCCCAGACTGGCTAATCCCCCACCCCAACAACAGGGTCAGCTCCACTGTGCTGCCCAGGCGAGGTGCAGAGCCTGCTCTCCCAAGTACCACAGTTGGTGAGGGACAGGGTCAGCGCTCCCAATTGCCGCAGGGGTAAGGGGAAGGGCATCTTTTCCTCACTCATACCAAAGAGGGCAGAGCCAGCTCACCCACACCCTGGCCAGGGTCCCAGGCAGGTGTTAATGGTGCTGAGGAGACTGACCAAGCCAACTCTGAATAAGAAAAAGCATTTAATGGGGCCTTGCTTAATTTTCAGAGGCTTAGTCCATTATCATGGCAGAAAGCATGGCATCATGCAGTTAGGTATGGTCCTGGAGAAGGACCTGAGAGCTACATCCTGATCTGCTAGCAGAGTGAAAGAAAGCTTTGAGGTTTCAAAAGCCCACCATCCCAGTGACCCTTTCTCCAACAGGGCCACACCTAATCCTGCTAAACCATTACACCAGCTAGGAACTAGACATTCAAATATGGGGTCCTTCTTGTTTTGTTTTTTGTTCTAGTTTTTTTGAGACAGGGTTTCTTTGGCTGTCCTGGAACTAGCTCTATAGACCAAGCTGGCCTCGAATTCACAGAGATCCACCTGCCTTAAAGGCATGTGCCACCACAGCTGGCTGTGGGGTCCATTCTTAAACAACCACAGTACCTTTTTATGAGAAAAATACTATGTGGAGCTAAAAATAATTCATAGTAGTTTTCATTGCAGTGTGTGAACAGTGCTCTCTGTTGGGAATGCTGGAGCACACAACTGGCTTTAGTCGCTTGGGCAAGGTCCCTCTCATTTTACATGCAATGGAATGCTTTGTTGCCCACTTTTGGGACTGATCTCTTTGACTCTTGTTTATGTTTGCAGGTATCCTATAGATTCACATTGCATTTGCTTCACATAAGAGTGCGTCCAAAGTAATTTTTCTCAGTATCACTGCTCTGGAAGTTTGAAAAAATTTGTAAAAGTACATTGAGAAGATCAGTACTCAACATGGTCTCCATTTCTAGTCCTAGCCCTTGGAGTTCTGTAAAAGGAAGCTGTAGGTTCAGGAATTCTTGCAGATAACTGGTATATTTTAATAGTTGATAAACTCTGAATAGCTGACTCTAACAAAATTATGATTCTAAGGCTATACAGGATACAAAGTGGCTTTGGGGATCATCAAAGATTAAAATTGATCATCAAAAATTAAAATTAAAATTAGTATATAATTGCTGAAATTAAGAGTTCATTTTAAATAAGCATTTTATGCATTTATATGGGTATACATTCATGCATATATACCTGTGCATGTATGTATACCAACTACAGCTACTAATTTAACTGTCATAACCAATGACTTCTCTGGTTCAAGACACACACACACCCTTGGCTTAAGACCTGTGCCCTCTTGTTGGTGACCCAAATTATGGTGCAGCTGAGTGGCCAAGAGAAACCCGAGACTTCTGCCTGTTCTCAGTCTTGCTGCAGGGAGGAGAAAATAGTTACCTGATCCACCACCAGAGGGATCCCTGTTCACAGTTTATGTCTCCTCTACCAGTAACGAATGTAGTTGGTAGACCCCCCAAACCCTCCATCTTTGGAGAAGCTGCAGGCCCTTAAGAGTCTGTTGGAAACAGCCCAATGGAAACCTTTAAGGTAGGAGGGCATTGGACAATTTTCTTCAAGAAACGTTATTGGGAGGATTAAAAGTGGCAGCCAGAAAACCTACCAGCTAATTTAAGGTAAGTCAGGTTATTCAAGGACCTGATGAATTGCCTTCTGGGTTTCTGGAAAGACTCTGTGACACAAATTGGGTATTTACCCAGTGAGCCATTAATACTGCCTTTGTCATGCAGTTAGCTCCAGACATAAGGAGAAAGCTCCAGAAATTGGAGATATTTGAAGGAATAAATAGATCTCAACTTTTGGAAATTGCTCAGAACGTTCACAACAGTTGAGATTCAGCTGAAGACAGGGAAGGACAATCTGCTATGTGGAGACTTCTGCCCTTGAAGAAACACAGAGAGAAATGAGGGGAATAGACAATGGGAAGGGATTCAGGGACTGACTCACCAGCATTGTTGGTTGGGGTCCTGAGTGCAGATCTGTTGGAATTCAGACAAAAATTGTCCACAAAGCCTGCTCCAGTGTGTCTAGATGGCCCCATAGCTCTGAACAATGAGGAGGAATGTGGACAGACAACAGAGGGCGTTTTAGTAGTCCTCCAATCCCTGGGGTGCAGAATCTCAGCCAAGAAGATTCACTTGTTCATCCTTCAGGTCACATACCTAGGCTACAACCTAGAAGGAAAGCAGTCACTTTCCTGATACCGTGTTTCAGCCATCCTGTAAATCCCCATCCCACATCAAAAACCAAGACAAAATAACAAGTGTGGGCATTCCTGGGGATGTTGGAGGCTGCAGGCCATTTGCTGAGTGGCCAAGCCCAGGGGTATGTAGCCTTTGGAATGGACTGAGACTGAACAGAGAGCCTTTGAAGCCTTAAAAAAAATATCCTGCCCCAGCTTTGGCCTCACAGACATTACTAAGACATTTCCCTTGTATGTGGATAAGACCAGAGGCATTGCCTAGAGGGGTCCTCATGCAAACCCTAGGATCCTGGAAAAGACCAGTGGCATATCTGTCCAAGAGACTTGACCCAGTCGCAGCTGGATGGCCAGCATGTATAAAGGCCATAGTTGCTACTGCCCTGCCAGTAAAAACAAACAAAGAAAAAAAACACTCTGACAAATTTAACTTTAGGTCACGAACTGTTCCAAACAGCTCCACACTTTTGAGACCCTCTTGAGAAGGGAACCTGGGAGATGGATGTCTAATCCCTGGATGACCCAATACCAAGCCCTACTTCTGGATCAATCCCTCATTTGGTTCCACAACACATCAGCCCTCAACCCTACCAGTCTCCTGCCTTGAGGTGACTGACATGATCCAGTCTATCAGGCATGATCTGACTGATGTCCTGTTGGTAACACCAGACTCAGATGGGAGAAGTTTCAACCAAAATGGGATCAGGTATGCAAGGATAGCAGTGGTGACCCAAGATAGGTCTATCTAGGCACAATCTTTAAGCAGGGTAGCCTTAGCTCAAAGAGTTGAGCTTTTACCTTTGACTTCAGCACTCCATTGGGTGAAAAACAAGGGTATTACCACATACACTGATAACTAATATGCTTTCGCCACAACCCATGTCCATGGGGCTCTACGGGGAAAGAAGACTGCTAACCCTCAGCAGGAAAAGATATCAAAAATAGAAAAGAAATCTTAGCCATATTAGAAGCTATCTGGTTACCCAAAAGGGCGGCCATTATCTATTGCAGAGGACTCCAAAGAGGAGATTTCCCAGAAGGGGAACAGGGCAGCTGACTTGGCCTCGTGGAAAATAGCCCTAGAATCACTGGGGCTTCTCCTTGAGTCTTGGTAGGTCTGCAGGAGCCCAGTTATCAGACTGGACCACCTGAAATATACCCAGGGGTGAAACTGCCTGGGTGAGACAAGGACTGGTCAGCAGGATAAACAAGGATGGTGGACAGACCCATCCTTCCCAGGAGTCTGGAAAGGCCACTGGCTATGGATCTCCACCAAGCCCCCACCTAGGGACCACAAAAGTTGCTGAACTCCTCAGACCCAGTCCTTGCAGGCTTTGCAGGAAGCTCACCAGGCTAGGGACCAGACTGTGAAGGGAATCCTGCTGTCTCTCACCTCTGAACTTGCCCAACAGTTCCAATCAGGAGACTTGGTTTGTAAAGAGGATCCCTGGCCAGCCCCTGGAACCTGTCTAGAAGGGACCCTACCTAGTCATTCTCACTACTCCAAATGCTGTCAAACAGTTGATGTCATCCCTTGAAGAAAAAAAAGGCCACTGAGGACAACAGATAGATTCTCAGTTGGATCTCAGACCCTGTAAAGATAAGACTGAGCAGAGTTTACTAACCTGGGATGCATAATCCCCACCAGCCCCAAACCTGGACATGGGAATTCAGAAAAATCGGGCA